TTACTCTCGACATTATCATGATCAATGCTATCATTATCATTACTGTTTTTATTATTATTACTATCATTATTGTCATCTTTATTTTTATCATTACTACTATTACTATTATTTCTATTGTTATAATTGTTATAATAATTATAATTGTTATTATAGTAATTACTTTATTATCATTATTGTTGTCACTATCATTATCATTACTATTGCTATTATTAGTGATATTAGTACAAGTATTATTGCTACTACTAGTACAATCAATATTCCTTTGATCACCACTATTACTGTTACTATTATGATTATTTATGTCACTATTATTGTTACTATTATCATGATCATAATCCCCATTGTTATTATCAGTATTAACATTATTTTTCTTCTTCATATTATCATTATCATTATCGTCATTACTATCACCATCTAATCATCATCATTGTCATTGTAGTGGACTGAAAATGTGCAATACTTTAATTAATCTCTCCCTTGGCAGCCTGTTGGCATCCAAATAAAACCACGAAGTGACCCGCGGAACAAAACTCTACGGGAATTGCACGCCCGGTTTGATCAAGACGTCTCGCTACGTGAGGTTGCTCGAGCACAGCGCTGAGACAAGGCGGGTGAAGCCGCGAGTAAAAGAGGCCGTTGAAAGAGGAACGCCTTTCCTTTCACGAGAAGGAGGGAAGCGCCCTTAGGCCACCCCAGGAAGGCGCATCCGGGCCTGTATACATATCATTATATTTTTTAATAAATCTCTATTTTTAGGCAAATAAGAGAATGATGTTTCTTAGTACACCCCGCCACTCTTCAAAGCACAGAGCACCAGCTTCTAAAAGGGAAAATAGATGAGAGCTTAAACGGTGGAAAACGTATTTATAGCTGAGTCACGGTTGAAAGTTTTCTTTAATTACGTATTTTTTTAAAAATCAAAGATATCTTCATTTTTAATTAGTTATTTTTCTTTTTAAAGGTTTTACATTAACGAAAGGCTTATTTTGAAAGCAGCCGTATGACTCTTTTCATTAAAGGAATTTATTAAAGAAACTCTAGAATAAAACATTCACACCTTGCTACCTGTGTTTCTTGGGAGCACAGGTGTAATTAGGTGGTTCTCACCTATTCACGGCAGTTGCTGCAGGTGGAGGCGGGGACGCCCTAGACTAGCGTCCCTCCCGTTTTCTTAGCTTTTTCGTGGTTTACCCTTTTATTGCTGATTGAGATACTCATACATTCGGGCAAAGAACGAAAGGCTGGTGATCACTTTTGGTTCTTTTTTGTGTGATTTCATTTTCAAACGGGAGTGAGCGATTTTAGTTTTTTTTTCATGCTTTTGGTATGTTTTGGATTTATTAAAAAGTTCTCTTTAAGGGGAGTAGTCCATGTCCTTTTTAGATTTTGTTTTAAATCTTGCATTGTTTTATGAAGAGTTTTCATTTTATTTCTCATTGTTTTATAATAAAATGATTTCTATAAGTGCTTGCTGGTTCATTTAACCTACCTGAAAGATTTCTATAAGTGCTTGCTGGTTCTTCCCTGAAAGAGATTAATCTATACAAGACAGCCTTGTCCGAAACCCTTCGCACGTGGTGAAATTCCCGCGCTCGTCCTCCCCGCTCTGGTTACGTTTTCCCTGTCTTGCTGGTTCATACATTCTACATACATAACAACATTTGTACACAATCTTTCCTCCTTTCCACAGGCCCTTCACACATTGTCTTCTCCAAATAACACCCGTTCCCGGCGCGTACTAAACGGGTGGTGCAGTGAGCCATACTGTTGTGCATTTCTGTACAGTAAGGCACGGCAATAGAGTAAGTAAAAGTTCAGTACACTACATTATAATTATCAACGACATTCTCATCATTACCATTATCATCACACACACGCGTTATATATACACATCCACACATTCTTCTAAACGTTTCGTCTTTGTCTTCCGTCACTGGCTACCTCGGCCTCTCCTCCCTCCGTCTAATCCTGTGCAAAAGACGTCAGAACTTGCCTTTGCCCGTCAACTGTCAAGATGACAGAAGTCGTCTGCCGCTCCTTCACCGTAGCACAACGCCGCCGGACCAACAAACGCAAATCTACAACACACACACACACACACACACACACACACACACACACACACACACACACACACACACACACACACCACACACACACACACACACACACACACAACGCATATATCATTATAATCATTATTATCATTATTACTGAAACACTTGATATCCACTTATATGATCGTAATTCTTATTAATAATATGTGTTACACATGATAATGACAAAAACAATTATAACAATGACAACTGGCATTGATGATATTGGTGACAAAGAGGGTAATCATGATAATAATATTGATAACGACAGTAATGATGATGCTAGCAATTGTGATGATAGCGAGTGTAACAATAATAACAACAGTAACAATGCTGGTAAAAATGTTAATGGTAATGCTTATATTGCGAATATTGATAATGATGTGAGCATTAATAATAATGGTAATAACAATAATGAACATAGCGACAATAGCAATGATGGTAATGATAATAATGTTGATGTTAATATTAGTATTAATGATGATAGTAATGATTTGATGAAAATAATACTAGTAAAATTAATACTATTACTAATGATGATGATCATCATTATCATTAAGATGATGATAAAGATAATGATGATAATGATAATGATAATAATATAAACAATAACGATGATATTATGACATCATTAATAACAACAATGATAATAATGGTAATAATGATAGTAATAATAATAATAGTAGTAGTTGCAATAACATTAGAAATAACAATAACAATTTTATTGATAATTATAATAAATGATAATCATGAAAACAATAGTAACAATAAGGATACTGATACTAATACTATGATAATACTAATTATGATAATAATGGTATTAATAATAATAATGATAACAATTATAGTAATAATGATAATAATAATAATTAATGGTGATAATAATGATAATAATAATTATTAATGGTGATAATAATGATTATAATAATACTGACAATGATGACAATAACAATAAGAAAAAAGATCATAATAGGAATAACATTAATGACTATATCATGATTATTGTACTGATGATAGCATAGTGTTCATGAGAACAATAACAACAATAAACAAATCTTAAAAAGCTGCTAGAATTTAATGCGAAGGCAATTTGATATATGTAAAAGAAATGCAACAAACAAGGGCATTGCATAATTAGAAAAAAGATTAACAGACTGCAGAGCGATTATCATATAATCTGCTTCATCATTTGCATATCAAAATTCGGAGATTAAAGCGGTACTTTTTATTTGCTTGAAAATCGTATCTGAAATTGGTTTGTGAGATGATGTATGTAATTAGGTCAGAAGCGCCTGGGCATCAGAGTGTAATTATCAAATGCTTTATATAATCAAACACAATCATTCACATACACTAATTCACTCTCTGTTTTAATTTTTTTTCCTTCTCTCTCTCTCTCTCTCTCATAAATTCAAACACACAACCTATACATACAAAATCTCTATTCTAGCTAACATGTTAAAGCTTGTCCTGCCGTGTTTGTTCGCACCAAACTTCTCTCTTTTGAATTATGACAACAGGGAGTTCCAGCTGTGACAGTCAAATATTTCTATTTTTTTCTTGGTGTATTTAAATATATATATATATATATATATATATATATATATATATATATATATATATATATATATATATATATATATACAACATATATATA